CAGTCCCATGGTGTAGCATCTGAGCACTATGGAAAGGAAGCCTAATCTCACATGACCAACCAGGACTTGGTCCCAGCCCAGCAGCTTCAGAAAACATGCACATGGGCACATGCATGCTCAGGATCCTCACAGGACAGAGAGCTGGAGGTGAAGGGATGACAATATGACCAGGCCTTACTGGGAGGGACGCTCTCTCTCCTCTCCTCTCTCTCCTCTCTCCTCTCTCCTCTCTCTCTCTCTCTCTCTCTCTCTCTCTCTCTCATGCATTCGCATGTTCTCTGGTATTTACAAAAAGAAATATTTGGGGAAGAAAATCATGTTTGTTGAAATTCTAACTTGAGAATTTAAAATTGTGAAAAGCTGACTTTATCCACCAATCCTAGTGATGAACAACTTGCCATGGCATGACTGACCTAAGTCCATTTCATCTGATCTCTACAAAAGAACGTCATGGGCCAGCAGTTGGCGTAATAGCTATGTTGCTTTCATGGGCCAGCAGTTGGCGTAATGGCTATGTTGCTGGATTCCCACATAGTCGACCATGGTTCGAGTCCTGGACCCGGTGGCTTAAACTCATGCCGGGCGCGTGTGCGAGCGTGCCCAAGATCCCGAGAGGAGAATGGAGGAGAAGGGATTGTGGTGCGGCCATCCCCCCCGGGGGGTGATTTCTTACTTTCTATCTCTCTGTCTCTCTCTGTCTGGAGAGTGCACGTGCCCTATAGCAAAAACCTCTAAAAATAAGGAAATAAAAAAGAACTTCACAAGTTTATGTAAGTTTAGGAAATTAGCCAAAGGCACATTTCCTACTGTAAGAAGATTTACAAGTAAATAAAAGAACTCTTCGTGTAAGAGATTAACCTCAAAGCTGCTAGAAACTCAGCACAGCCGCTAGCCCTGTGTCCCTTAGGTCTCACACACAGGAGGAAGTTGCTCAGCCTCATGAGAGACTTGGGGTGCTGAAGCTTGGTGTGGATGGTGCTCAGGGTCCGGAGAAGAAGGACACACCTGAGCACACAGCGGCAGGGACCCCAGTCTGTCCGGGCTCAGCTCCCTTTGGAAAGAGCCAGAATCCTAGAGAAGTGGCAGTCATAATAAAGAGAGGGACAGACCTAAGATGCATCCCTGGTGTCTCTGAAGGCAAGAGAGTGAGGGACAAACAAAGCCGGTTTGTAACTTGGCTTCTGGACATGTGGAATGAGAAATGGAAATAAGCCTGCTGCTGCAGAGCCGAGAAGAGTGGGGTGATCAAGAAACCCAGAGGTAATGGGGATGAGAAGGAAAATGGACCTTGCAAAGCACCCCAGGGATTATCACTCTCTGAGCCAGAGGGAGGGACCCAAAGGACCACAGTTCCAGAAATCTAACTGCTGGTGGCAAACATGGAACTACTTCTTTGGGGTTTTGATGATCCGTTGTACTCCAAAGTCATTAACTAGTCAACACTTGTCATATTAACTGCTGTTTACAAGTAACACGACCCTTATAGCAGAGCTCCAACATTCCCCCAAAGCAGAGAGAAGTCAGGGAATGATGAACTTGGTTACCAAGGAAACAGTTTCCTGACTGGTCTAGACAGTCTCTGAGATGACTTTGACGTACCCTGACAGTGAAGGTTAGAAGTAGACAGTGACCAAAGAAGTAGGTTCCATGTAGAACCTTGGACAAGCAATGACTAGGTTTTAGAGCCAAGGACACAAATTGACACCCTTCTCGGCATAGCTAACAGGGTGCCGTGCAGATCAGAGACCTGGAGGGAGCTCAGAACCTTCAGGAAGCCAGGGCAGCCTGAGCAGCTTTCTGTCATCTGAACTCTATGTGTGAGAACCGCAGATTTCTCCTGAAGAATAAAAACACCAAGTCCTTTAGTTGCTCCTGCTAACAGTTGTCTTGCCATTAAGCCAGAAGAAGTATTTAATGTGTTTCAAAAGAGGTACTTTTTGTTTGAGGTTGTTTTAAATCCTTTTTATTTTGAAATGATTTCAGACTTGCAGAAAAGTTGCAAACACAGTACAAAGAATACTTGTATATCTTTTAATGTTCATCCAAACTCACTCTATCACATCTGCTTTATCATTCCCTGCTGCATCTGTCTATGTACCAGTCTGCTTGCTGTGGTTTCAATGTGCCGCCCCCTGACAATGCAAGTGTTGAAATATGATGGTGACTGTATTAAGAGGGTGGAAACTTAATCCAACTATGGGATTAAGAGATGAAACCATTGGGTTTAAGAGATGGAGGGGATTAGAATTAGATAAGGTTATCAGGGTGGGGCTCCCACGATTGAGTACTGGGGTGTTTATAAGAAGAGGGGAGTGAGCCAGAGTGGAGATACACAAGTACAATCTCTCACCCTCTCACCATGTGATGCTCTGTGCTGCCTTGGCCTCTACACAGAATCCCCACCAGCAAGAAGATCTCACCAGTTGGCCCCATGACCTTGTACTTCTGAAAGCATAAGCTAAATAAACCTCTGTGCTTAGGCCAGCAGGTACTGCGGAAGTTAAGGCTGGATCTCGCATGGCTGACTGTGAGTTCACATCCTGAATCCGGCAGCTTGAAAAACATGCCAGGTGCATGTGCATATGCGTCCCAAATCTCAGAAGGAGAATGGAGGAGAAGGGATTGTGTCACAGCCACCTCCCCGGAGAATACTTTCTCACTTTCCTTCTCTCTCTCTCTGTCTCTGTCTCCAGTGAGTACAGATACCCTATAGCAAATATTTTAAAAATAAAAAAATAAATAAATCTCTGTTTTTAAATTACTGAATTTGCAGTATTTAGTTATTAATCAACAAAGAATGGACTAAAATTTTGTCTCTCTGAAACATCAGAAATAATGCCCTTTTCCCCCAATGTATTCAACGACAATCTCATAAAATCAAGGCCAAACTAGAGGACGGTGGTCAAAATTAGGAAAATCACATTGATACAGTATTATCATCTGATGAATGACCCTTATTCACATTTCACCAAATAACTATTGTCCTTCTTAACCAAAGTGGGAAGAACGTCCCTGGGGTCCAGGTGTGTCTCTTCAGTCTCCTTTAATCTGGAAGTGTTTCTTGGACATTTTTTGGTCTTTCATGATCTCGATGTTTTGAACATACAGATCATTTCTTTTAAAGATTGTCACTCGCTTTGACTTTAATTGACGTTTCCTCAAGATTAGGGGGCTCAGGCTCTGTAACTTTCGCAAAAATACCACTGAAATGATCTTGCGTCCCTCGGTGCGACATGTTGGGAGGCACGCAATATCCGTTTGTCCAAAAACTAGTGATGTTAACGTCAGCCAGTAAGTTAGGGTGGGGCCTGTCGGGTTTCTTCACCATGAGGTTACTATTTTTCCCTTGGTAGTTCATAAATATTTTCTGGGGCATTATTTAGTTTGAGATTACGTATGTATCCTGTTTCTCTGCACCCGCTCAGTGTCTCTTGATATTTCTTAGCTTAGAGGTTTATTTAGCTTATCATTTCTGAAGTACAAGGTCATGGGGCCTGAAACCATTTGAATTATGGTGGCTTCCAAGTATGAATGATTTTCTAATTTCAGAATCCCAAAATCAGAGAGAGAAATAAAGGCATGACCGTACCCTGGAATGATGGGCCTTCTCATTTTTTATCTTTCTCTCTGCCTCTCTCTCTGGGGAGTGCACGTGCCAGCTGAATTTTTTTTTTTTTAAAGAAAGGCAATGCATACATAGTATTTTTAGATATTGCCGAATATCCCTTCATCCTTACCGTCAACGTATAATAAGAGTGTTGTTTCCTCCAGCCCTGCCAACAGAAGGTGCTGCCACACGCCTCCATATTCCGTCCCATTTAAGTGAAAAGTGATCCCAGCACAGTGTTAATTTGCATTCCTTTGGCTCTCAGTGAGGTTAAACATCTTTATATATATTTAAGGGCATTACGTCTTTTGCCTACTTTTCTATTGCATATACACTTTAAAACTTGGCTATGCATTGCATTTTCCCTTCTGCTTACCAGGCAGAAGCTAGAAGGTATGTATTTGCTGAATGTTTACCTTCATTTTTTTCCTAAGACAATCTTATCTGTGCTAATGTTTTAGTTCTTGATAAGACTGCAGTCACTGATACACTTTAATCAAGCTACATACTTATGACTTGTTCGCTTTTTAAAGCTCATTTTCAAAAGTCTTTGTCAGGGTTGTCCCTGTAGTACAGGGCTTAAGACTTGTGCATAGAGAGACAGATTCCACATGGCTGACTACAGTTCAAATCCCATCCTGGTGGCTCCAAAAACATGCTGGAATGTGTACATGTTAACCCAAAATGACAACAGGTTGGAAAAATGGAGGAGAAGGGATGGCAGCGTAATCACACCTCCCTGAAGGTCTCTCTCTTTCTCCCCAGAAAGTACACGCACCCTATGGAAGAAAAATAAAAGCCTTACTCAATTTAGTTCTGTGCTAAATTTTTAGTGTCTTAACTGCCTGCTGCCTAAAGAAAACCTAATGACTTCCAGCAGCATACCCAAGTCGCCCTGACATGGGACTAAGAGGAAACAGGGGTTCTCTGCACACCTGAAGGCTGAGCCCACAGGACAACACCACACAGCTTCTTCCTGGCCGGCCCTCCCACCACGGTGCCCATTCCAGACAGTCTCCAAGACCTTGACACAACTTGGCCGCGGTGGACATGGTTCAACTCACTGAGTAGGGGAAGGGACTTTTCCAGCGGACAGCAGCAGAACCCTCCCTTCACTGTGCCCGGTGAGGGAGGGACTTCAGACCCAAGCCTCATTTCCTCCAATGTATGAGGGAGGTTAGAAAAAATAGGTAACCAGGTCATTACATGTTGTAACCTACTTAGAAGGGGATACAGATGGACCTGGATTTATTTATTTTTTTTATTTAATTTTTTTTTTGCCAGAGGGCATGTGTGCTCACCAGAGAGAAACACAGAGATGAGGGGGAGAGAAAGCACCCCAACTGGGCGTGGTCAAATAACAATTCCTTCCCCTCTGTTTCTCTGTCCTGCTGAGATTTGGGGCATGCATTTACATGAGGCTGGCGTGTTTTTCAAGCCACCCGGGCTAGAATACGAGCCATGATCAACTGAACTTTCTTAACCCCTAGACTCCAGGGCTGACCCAGAAACTGGAATTTTTGACTGTTCTCTGTGCACTATCCCTGAAAGAGCTGTGATTGGCTGAGATTCCTTCTCTCCTCTCTGGAATCGCTTTGGGACGGGAGAGACTGGAAATCTAACTAAAACTGCTGAGCACAGGGATGAATGGAGGAAATTCCGACGATTATTTGTCTGTTTGATGCATCTTTCAGGATGGTCCAGAAAAAAGACAGAAGCGTTGCTGCCCGGGTACCAGCCGTGCTGCGGCCTGAGGGGGGCCCAGCCTCTCCCGTGGAGCAGTCCCCAGCAGCCTGGGGGATGTCTGAGCAGCTGAGCTGGAGGAGGAGTGTGGGGCAGATGGTGGTAATAGCTGTCGGCGATGAAGGCTAAACAGCGTTGGCAGAAGCCGCAGATAAACTTCCAGCCTCGTTCTCTCCCCACATAACAGCCAGATAATGCCGGTTATTTCAAGGTGTTTCCAAGAATGGCATTTGATATGGATCACGATCGTCCAAGGGGAGCTGGGGACGAGGCATCGGAGCTTCCTGTCCCCTCCCCAGCAGAGACACCGGACACACGCACATCCTGTGAGTCACGTGGCGAAGTCACAGCAAGCGCACGCACTCACACACACACACTCACACACACACTCACACACACACTCACACACACACTCACACACGCGCACTTTCTCTCACTGTCTCCCACTTTGGTAGAAGCCATTCTGGCTGCAGAACTGGTGTCACCAGCCGGGGCCCCTGAGGCTCATGGAGCGTGGGCGTGCCCCCAGCTCCCGACGGTGTGCTGCAGCTCCCACACTTGTGACGTGCAAGTCTGGAGCACAAGCACGTAGGCGCTGGAAGCGTCCTTCTCGATCTCCAGACAGCGCTTGGTGTCTCTGTTCACGGCAGCTCCTTCCTGGAGGACAGAGGCCAAGAGTCAAGATGCTGCAGAGTCTGCTAGGTAGCACATCCTCTCCCCGCCCCTGCTCTAGCCCCTGGTCGGAGGCACCCCTGAGGGCATCCCTCCTGCCTGTGGTCTGCAGGAGCAAAGGAAGCCATGGGTAGAGCTAGATGGCCCGCAGGGCTTCTCAAAGGCCTCAGCAAGTTCCCAGGGAAGCAAAGCTGCCCTGGCTTCACGGGACACTCAGCCTCTCCTGCAGAGGGGCCAGGTCAATGTGGACGCCAATGGCACGAGGGCATCTGAGGGAGCTGTGGGTCCTTCTCTTCTGGGCCCGCCTTCCCACGCCTTCGCCCCTGAACCCACCGCACCTCCCCTAGTGCCCCCTCTCCCTCCTCTGAGTCTCTGTCATGGGCCCAGAGCAAAAGCTACATTCCAGGCTCTCGACCCATGTTCTCCACCCTCTGGGGAGCAGCTTCCTGCCGCTCCTGTCAGGGGACTTCGCCATGGTCTACTTCTGGGGACATTACAGGCCCCCATGCGAAAGAGCTGGGGTTGACTCCTGGCGCCATAGTACAACCGTGTGGCCTTGGGCAAAGCACCTAACCTCTCCCAGTCTCACCCTGCACTCGTCTCCAAGTCTCGGTTCTCTTTTCTATAAAATGGGTTTAGAGTTAACATGAAATTATAAAAGGTTTAATGTTGATCAAGCCTCTTGTGATTGGTAAACACATGAATAACTCTCAGTGTGTCTGTAATTCATCTTCGCCACTCCCCTGTTACTGGGAATAGAGGGAAGGGGGGCCTTCCGTTTGTTCTCGGTGCTCCCTCCAGCCCTCCCGAGCTCCTTCCTTATTCCCGCATCTTGACAGCTGAGCCCTGCAATCTGTCCAGACCACCACTTCTCCTGGACCCGCCTTCTGCTCCTGGGCCTCTCACTCCCGCTTCACTCCACTGCCTGGCAGGAGTCATATCTGCCTCCTGGACGCCTGGGCCAGGTGGTTTTCCCTGTGGCCACCTGCCCTCTGCTGTCACCCAGTGTTCACTTCATACATTTTGCCGTCTGGTGAGAAACCTGGTCTCACTGTCCCCTCTTCAGGTGAACTACCACCCAGCACACTGAGGGCACTTCCCTTCTCTGCCTGTCGTCTAGGGGAGAAAACGAAGCTGCGTTAGAGTTGGATGGCCAGACGCATAAGATCTGCAAACCTCCACTCCCTCTCTAAAGGCTCTCTCCCTGCCTCTCAGCTCTTCCATCAGAACTGCGTCCAACTGTCCCCTCAAACGTGCCTGCTCCTGGACTCCCTCTGTCCCCCGGTCTGCTTCCTCTGGGCCACACTGCAGGCTCTGGGGCTTCCACCCCACCTCCACTGTCCTTTTCTCTTGTCTTCGGCATCCAGACCATACAGCACTCCTGGATGGGGGCCCCTGACGGAGCAGGCCTGGCTCACAAACGTGCCCACCACAGCCTGGGCTGGGAGCTGGCTTTGTCCTTGGGGTATTCTTTGTCCTCAGGCCTCCTGACCATTCTCTGCCCCTCAGTCCCCAGCCCTTGTCACTCACTTGCAGTAAATGCAAGAAGACCACACTTCTGGTGGACCTATCTCCTCATCTGGGACTGCGCTCAGCGGTCCTCAAGAACCTCATGAGTGGGCTCCAAGGAGCTGCCCCTCTGTGCTCTGAGATCCAGCCATCCCCGAGCTGCGGACACGCTTCCTGCCTAACAGCCTCCCTCCGTTCCCTCTCCTCAGGTTCCTTTCCTCCTGCCCTTTGATACATTCAGATCTTTCAGTATCAGAGAGGCAAAAGCCCCAAACTGTAACTATCATTCTTTGCAACCAACATTCAGTATTTTTCTCCCTTTTAAAATCAAATTCCCAAAGAATGATAGTACATAGTGACTAAGAACGTGTGCGTTAGGGTCCAGCAGATGGCGAAATGGTTACGTCTCTGGACTTCCACGTAGCTGACCATGGTTTGAGTCCCAGACCTAGCAGCTTAAAACTCATGCCACGTGCATGTGCTTGTGTGAGGTGCCCAAGATCCCGAGAGGAAAAGGGAGGAGAAGGGATTGTGGCGTGGCCCTCGTCCTGCGGGGTGATGTCTCATTTTTTTGTCTCTCTGTCTCTGTCTCTCTGGCAAGCACATGTGCCTTACAACAAACATTTCTCTTAAAAATTTTTTTTTGTGTGTGCTTGAATCTGGGACGTTCACTATGCTGTGTGAGCTAGGGCAGACCACGTCATCTCGCTGTGACTTAGTGACGTCCTAGATGGAGTAGAACAGATGGTAATACTTCTAAGACTCAGTCTGATGAGGACTACATTAGGAAATGTTGCACCCCATGCCTGGTACATCACACGTCTTCAGTAACTCATGGCTAGCGCAATTTTGGGGGACCTTGCAGACAGTCACTGGCCTATCTGCTATTCTCTGTCAGTTCCTATGAAGCCTCTTCTTTGATAGTGTTCCTCACCTCTGGTTTCTTTTACGTTGTGTTCCTCTGGATCTTACACATTTTTCTTTTTGTTTTTATTTGAGGATGTTACCTGTCCGCATTTTTAAAGGACGTTAGTGTTTGTTTTTCACTTTTACCAAAAAAAAAAAAAATTATTTTAAAAGTCCTTTTTTCCAACTTGGAAAATATATTTTAAAAAATTAGAAGCCCTGATAATGGAAAAATATTGTATACGTATTTTTATATCTTTCTTTTTAAACTTTAACATTCTATTATGACTATTTTCCCGTTTCACTAATTTTTTGAAACTACATTGTTTCAGAAGACTTCCATAGCTATACCATCATTTCAAGGAATGAACATGAATCTCCTCTATTGTGGAACATTTAATTTTTCTTAATTTTTTATTATAAATATAGAGATATATTCTAGGGGCTGACCCCATAGCCTAGTGCTTAAGGGAAGCCAGATTCCTGCCATTTAAGTGCAGCCCCAGTGGCTTACAAAACATAAGCTTTCTCCCTCTCCCTCTCTCTCTGTCTCTCTGGAGAGCACACATGCCATTTAAAAAGAAAAACATCATGTTGTATATAATAAATATATACACCTTTTTTTAAGAGAGATTTTTGCTATAGAATGCATGTGCTCACCAGAGAGACAGAAAGAGAGAAATCACCCCACTCCCCGGGGAGGTTGGCCACACCACAGTCCCTTCTCCTCCATTCTCTTCCCAGGATCTTGGGCACGCACATACATGCACCCAGCATGATTTTGAAGCCACCAGGTCCAGGACTCGAACCATGGTTGGCCACGTGGGAATGCAGCAATGTAACCACTACGCCATCTGCTGGTCCCTACACCTTTTTTTTTTTTTTTAAGAATATGTTATACATTGGGAACCAGCAGTTAGCGTAATGGCTATTTCGCTGGACTCCCACATAGTCAACCGCGGTTCACGTCCCCGACCCGGTGGCTTAAAACTCACGCCAAGCGCGTGTGCATGCGTGTCCATGATCCCGAGAGGAGAATGGAGGAGAAGGGATTGCCGCGTGACCGTCTCCCCTGGGGGGTGATTTCTCGCTTTCTGTCTCTATGTCTCTGTCTGGCGAGTGTACGTGCCCTATAGCGAAAACCTCTCAAAAAAAAAGGAAAAAAAGAATATGTTATACATTAATCTTGGCCTGCATTCAATACTATATCTTAAGTAAAGATACTGTGTGAAAGAGAAGGAATGTCTTATAGGGTCAGAGTTGATTTGGGGGAGTCGTCTAGTGCCGGGACTGCCTTACGCACAAGCCTGTCACTTCTGGCCCTGCCAGTACACATGCCTGCTAGCAACGTGTGAGCACGCCCTCAGCACTGTCCCTCTGCCCTTCCAGAACCGAGGCTACCAGTGCCCTCTCCTCTACCTTTTCCAGGGACCCTCCTGGCATGGCAAACTGTGCCTCCTTCCGGAAGGTGGCTGTCCTTGACACACACTGCCCCTTGCTTCCGGCACCCGTCAACTCTCTGCCCTGCTCTCCTGGTCTCCAGCCCAGGCCCAAAGCTCCTTCTCTCTCTGAGCTGGCCCTCCCACCACAGGCACCAGCGTCTGTGCCCCCGGAGGGCGCCACGACTTCCGCTAACTCAACACACAGCACCGTACAATTGGCAGAGAACAGAGGGCTTATCGAGTCCACTTCCCTCCCAGCTCTGGGAATATCGTCGGTGAATTTTTAGTAGAATGAATTTACAAATTGAAGCTACAAAGTAAGAGCACGAGAGGAGCTGGTGTTCACTCGAGCATCGCTTTCAGGGACAGCCACAGCAGTGCCCCATAACACAACGCCCCACGGCGCAGAGCCTGCTCACAGCCCGGTGGATCCTGGCCGGGGCCCAAGGGCTCCTTGCACACGCGGTGCTCCAGCATGCTTGTGGCTGGGGTGTTCTGATGTGAAGAACTGTGGGAGTAATCTCTCCTTGTGTGTGTTTCTCTCATGGAAAACATCAATGGATCATATATATACACATATATATACATGTATATACACACACATGCATGCACATACACATGCATATCTACACGTATACATGTAGATATACATATATACATGCATGTGTACATGTATACGTATATGTGTACACATACCTATGTATGCATATAAACATGTATGTATGCACATGTAAACACATATACATGTATATACGCACATATATACATGTATATATATTTTGTATCTGAAAGAATTTTGGTCTCATAACTTGGCTCTCATTTTGATTCTTGTGATAGATGAAAAAGGGCTGGACAGGATGAACTGATTCAAGACTAACTGAAATTAGCCATGAGCTGCATGGCCGAGACCCTCTAACTCCAGAAGGAGTTCTTGCCACAGTGACCGGAGCGAGGGACCTGCCTGGATTGTGGAGTGGCTTTCCAGGCAGGATTTCCCTGGAGGCCTGCAGCTCAGTTTCACACTCAGCCAGAATTTGTATTCTAATAGCTGCCTTCAGTGACAAGGTGATCTTACAGAGTTCTGTTGAAAAGGCAACCTTCAAAATGTTTGGGAAGTGAGGCAGCAGAAAACAGTTAAGGCACTGGATCCCACGTAGCCATATATGGGGTGACTCCGGGGTTAGAATCGTGGATCCGTCTACTTGAAAAAAACTGCCAGGTGTTTGCATGCCCAAAATCTCAAGAGGAGAATAAGAAGAGATTGCGGTGTGGCCATCTCCTGGGGGTGGGCTATTTATCACTTCCCCTCCTTCTCTTTCC